AAGGGTTTCAAGCTGAGCAGGACGAAGACGGAATACCTGAAGTGTAAGTTCAGCGCTGAGCCAAGGGAAGTGGGTGTGGATGTGAGGCTTGATTCGCAGGTCATCCTGAGTAGAGGCAGCTTCAAGTACCTTGGTTCAGTTATCCAGGGGGAGGGGAGATCGACAAGGATGTCACACACCGTATTGGGGCAAGATGGATGAAGTAGAGGTTAGCATCTGGAGTCCTGTGTGACAAGAGAGTGCCACTGATACTCAAAGGTAAGTTCTATAAAGCGGTGGTTAGACCGGCCATGATGTATGTGGCTGAGTGTTGGCCCGTTAAAAACTCACATATCCAGAAGATGAAAGTAGCAGAAATGAGGATGTTGCGGTGGATGTGTGGGCACACTAGGATAGATAAGATTAGGAATGATGATATTCGGGAGAAGGTGCATGTGGCTCCTATTGATAACAAGATGCGGGAAGCAAGGCTTAGATGGTTCGGACATATTTAGAGGAAAAGCCCAGATGCTCCGGTATGGAGGTGTGAGCGGCTGGTTATGGAGGGCACGAGAAGAGGTAGAGAGCGGCCTAAGAAGTATTGGGGAGAGGTGATCAGGCAGGATATGGCGAGGCTCCAGATTTCCGAGGACATGACACTTGATAGGAAGATGTGGAGGTCGAGTATTAGGGTTGTAGGTTAGGAGGTAGTTGAGTCGTGCCTTACTTCGTACCATTGTGGGACTAGCCATGTAGGGTTTTTGTCTAAGATAGCTAGTGGCAATGTTGTGGCTTACTATTTCGCTTTTCAGTGCATGTCCTATTTACTAGCTATCGCTTTTGCTTTGCATCTTTCTTCTAGATTTCATGATGTTCCTATTTTTCTTATAATTGTTGTGGTGATACTAATATTTACTAATATTGTCTCCCTTTGCTTTGCATCTTTCTTCTGGATTTCATGGTGTTCCTATTTATCCTATGATTGTTGTTNAGATTTCATGATGTTCCTATTTTTCTTATAATTGTTGTGGTGATACTAATATTTACTAATATTGTCTCCCTTTGCTTTACATCTTTCTTGTGGATTTCATGGTGTTCCTATTTTTCCTATGATTGTTGTTGTGATACTAATATTGTCTCCTTTTTGTCCTTTTGTCTTTTTGTTTTTTTGAGCCGATGGTCTTTCGGAAACAACCTCTCTACTCCTTCGGGGTAGGGGTAAGGTCTGCGTACATACTACCCTTCCCAGACCCCACTAGTGAGATTTTACTGGGTGGCTGTTGTTGTTGTTTGTGATGTAAACAAAATAAAATAAAGAAAAAGATTACAAAAAGATGAAATATTTTGCTTTGTCCATTATCTCAATTTGGAAATTTCCCTTCAAATATAATTATGTATAACCTATGTAAGATTGGACCACTGACTATTCATTTTATTCGTCGATCAATAATTTACTTTAATATAAATATTGATATATATTTAAAACACAATTAAAACAAATAGTTACGAAAATATGTAGTAATATAAAAGAGAAAGAGAGAAAGAAAAGAGATTGGGCAAAATCATTAACGCTAACGCCTTGACACATACAAAGTGCAAAAGTTCGATTCGTTTATCATTTGAAAATAGATTTTTCGTGGATAAAAATATGTTATAATTAAACATTAAAAACATGTATGATCTAATATTAATTAAGAATTTGAATCCTTAAATAAAATTATTTCTTGTAATGTTTAGAACATATAAGTAAGTATTTAAATTAACCTATTAGCAAAATAATCAAATTTTATTCTTTTCCAAATTCATCATATATGTAAAAGTATTTTTCAAGCTTACACAAGTTTTAGAGTACATACTTTTTTTTCCCGTAAAAGACCATTGGCAAAGAAAGAAATAAGAAAACTCTAAAAAAAATGATTATAATACAGTAATAAGAATTAAATTGATTAAAATGCAATCTTGAAGAGACGAGGATAAAATATTAAAAAACAAAATGTATTGATAAAGAGATATCATGTGAGGTGATACAACTTAACATTTTTGTATCTTATATTATACAATATGTATAATTACAAACTACTATACACAACCAATTCAACTAAAGTATCTTCATGTTATAGAGTACATATAGTTATAAATCACCATACAACTAATTTGACTAAATTCATCTTTGCATATTAAGAAGATATTGAATTCACCAATCGTTTCAATATTATATTTTATTTTAACGTCAATGATATTTATTTTTAATTGAACTAAAATTAGTTTAATAAAAACTTTGATGAAGCCATCTTTGCATATTAAGAAGATATTGAATTCACCAATCGTTTCAATATTGTATTTTATTTTAACGTCAATGATATTTATTTTTAATTGAACTAAAATTAGTTTAATAAAAACTTTGATGAAGCCATCTTTGCATATTAAGAAGATATTGAATTCACCAATCGTTTCAATATTGTATTTTATTTTAACGTCAATGATATTTATTTTTAATTGAACTAAAATTAGTTTAATAAAAACTTTGATGAAGCAGTGTTCTGCTTAGGATACTATATATCTTCCCTGCACGAGGTTTTATAGCCCGTTTGGCCAATCTGCAAAAATCTATTTATTTTGATAAGTATTTTTTCTCAAAAGTGTTTTTCTCAAAAGTTCTTTGAGTGAGAGACAATTTGTGTTTGACTAATAAATTTGAAAAGCACTTCTGAGTAGCAATTAGTGTTTGACCAAACTTTTAAAAACTGCTTCTAAGTGTATTTTTCTCAAAAACGCTTTCGGAGAGAAGCTACTTTTTTCTGTTTCTCCAAAACTGCTTCTCCTTATCCTTAAAAACATTTTTTTTCTTCCAAAACTTGGCCAAACACTTCAGCTTTGAAAAAAAAGTATTTTTAGGATTGGAAAAGCTTAGCCAAACAGGCTATTAGTGGTACTCCAAATAAGAATAAATTTTGTATGATTATTACTAATACGATTTATATATATATATATATATATATATTTTTTTTTTTTTTCTAACCCAAGTAGGATAGCATGTATGCATAAAGAGATCATGTGAGGTGGTATCTTATGTTATACAATATGTATATTTACAAACTACTATGCACAACTGATTCAACAAAATTCATAATTGACTTTAAAAATCCTAAATATCAGTTCATTTAAAATTTAATATATTAATTAATACTGTTATATGGTTAAACGTAACTTTTAAGAATGAAAAACTATGGGGTAGATTGACAAATTTTCTTTTGAGAGGGTTCATTCCGTATTTCTACTAAAATAAAGTGAGAAGAAAACTTTCAACCGAAACAGAAGTATTCAAACACTGTTAAGATCTTCCACTCCGGCTCTTGAGCGCCTTATTTCCTTCTTCCGTCCCGCATTTGCATTTGCATACTGATCCGATCGTTCCACTTAGGTAACTGCTGATCTCTCTCGAAATGGCTAGTGTTCGTCGTCCGATGTCCTCTCCTTCCAATTTTAGTTGTTGATCCTAGGGTTTTATCACTATCCGATCTGTTTTTCAGTTAGCGTCGTCGTTAAATCTATGCTAGGATTCATACATTTTGCACAGTCATAGGCCGTTGATCTCGGTTAAACGTATAATTGAGTTAATTCATACAGTTTACATTAAAATCCGCCTAATTGATACAGGCGGCCTTAACTAGCTTGAGAATAAGGCATAATTCATTGATTGATATGCGCTCTACATTACTTTGTTTATTTTGTAACTCTAATTTCCTTGGTGATGCCAATAAATTGGAGTAATTTATTCTTACCAGAAGGAATTTGTGTTTAAATTCCAGGTGATACACGATCTATTGATTAAGGTCTGAAACAGAAGATCTTCTAAGCTGCGAAGATGGTAATATTCCACTGGCTTATCTTTCCAATGAATTTTTCCGGCTGACAACTTTTTTTTCCCACGTGATTTTGGTTGTTGATGAGCTTGTAACTAAATATCTTTAAAGATTAATCTTTTGCTGAACATTTTAGGGCCTCTTTAGAAAAAATCAGGAATTTTCTAGGAAATATATGGAGTTTGTTGATTTTGAAAAAGAATCGTTGTGATAATAATTGCAAACTGTTCTATGTGCTGCAGGTTGTTCTAGCTGCGTCCATTATTTCTAAGTCAGGCAAAGGTACTATCTTTACTACAACTGTTTTTGGAATCTCTAATTTCTTGATAGTAAATGTGAAGTCAGTTGAATAATTTTTGTGGTGCAATTCTACACAAATTTGGCATCTGCCAATTAATTGATTTGTTCTTTTGACAAAACTGTGAGAATGAACTAGTAAGATCTATTATTCTGCATTCTGATTTGCAAAACTATGTGTCTCGTTCCTTTTCTGAAGTTTACAGACTGAACGTTATAAAAGGGCATTAGAAAAGCACTTAACTAAGAAAAGTTTGTTCAGTTATTATCGTTGAGAAATGTGAACACTGTTAGCAGTCAAGAGCTCGAACATTACAAATAAGATTTAGGAAAGCATTTGATAGTATAAGTTAGTTTAATTATTATGGTGGAGAAATGTAACAATTGCAATTAATGGAGAAAAAGAAAATTCCATAGGTATAGCTGGAGGCACAAGAGTAAATGATCTCTAATTCATGTGTGATTGAAAATGGAAGATGCCAACTTGGTACAAGAGTGGAAATCTCTAAGTCATGTGTGATTGAATCAGTGTTTTAAAAAGCGATCGCTTCGTCGCTTTAAGCGAGAAGCGACGCGAAGCGATGGCTGC